GGAGACCCTACCCAGGCCCCTCCCTGACTCTGGTATGTGTGGGGGAAGTGGAAGGTGCCAAAGCAGGGCAAGCTCCTCGGAGGGTCCTAGTCAGTTGCAAGCAGGCTCCTTCCTGCCCAGGATTTGGAAGTTGGCTGATGGGTTGGACAGCCACAAGAGGCAGGAAAGGACTCCTCTGTAGAGCCGCACTCGGCCCCAGTTCCGAGCCCCAGGGAATGTGCAGTGCCTGCAGGAATGTGCAGGGAGCTGCCGGGAGCCCCAGGCCGGCCCAGGGGGCCTGGCAGGACTGGGCGGGGGGGAGGGGGGTGGTCAGGACGCCTATCTCGGCCGCAGAGCATCCCAGGGCGCCTTCGGAGCGGGGTCCAAGGTGAACCAAGAGGGGACAGGCTGGGTGGCCACAGGGAGTGGGGACAGAGGGTGGGGCGCCGCGGAGGGGAAGGGTTCCTCGGACTCGCGACCCCCACCCCAGCCTCCTGCGGCCCCGCCCCCGCAGCCCAGCCGGGTCCCCCGCCCGCGACCCCAGTCCCGGCCCGCCGCGCTCACCGGGGACGCCGGGGACTGCGGCACCGGCCTCGGGCGGCTCCGGATCCCGGCCTCTGGGAAGCAGGAAGCGGGAATCAGGAAGTGACAGAGGAGCCGGGGGCAGGGGGCGGGGGGGCGGGGCGGGGGCTCGCGGGGGCGGGGCCGAGGTCACGCGCGGAGGGGCGGGGCGGAAGACTGCGAGCAGCCCCAGGAGGCCAGGAGCACGGGGGCCACGGGGGCGCAGGGGCGGGGCCTGGGCGAGCCCTGCCCCTCAGGCACCCGGGCCCCTCTAGGGCAAAGGAGCAGGGGTGGGGCCAGAGGGGCTGCAGGTGCGAGGCGCTTCCCGCCCGCAGACCGCTGCCCCTTCGCCATCCTCTCCTCTGGCGGAGCCCTCGGGAGTACGGGCAGTGGGTGCAGCCCGCCGTCCCAGTCCCCATCCCCATCCCGGTGCATTCTTCCGGGTCCCCCAGCCCACCACCCCCCACCCACTCCAAAAATACAGTATCTAGTCTGACAGCCCGTATGTTCACGTGCCTCTTTTTAAGGGTTACAAAAGTACACGCTCTTGATGAACAGTGTAAATGCACCAGCGGTGCGGTGTTTTAAGGGGTGAGCGGAAGGCCCCAGCCAACCCCTTCTTTCCCCTGAGCACCCCCGGGGTCTGCCGGGCCTCCTTATTAAAAATAGAAATGGGGACATGCCCTCTGCCAGATCGCTCACACCTTCCTTTCTCTTCCCGACCATCTCCCACGGAGGCCTAGTGGTCTGTCTGCAGATGTCTCCCTCCTAGCTAGCTCCTGTGACGGGGCCCAGACTGGCCTCCCTAGATCTACCCTATCTCTGTCCGTGTCCCACCCCGGGGGGACTTAGGTGTCTCTGTAGGTCGGACAGGCAGATCTGCCCCCTCTTCCCCGGGGCTGGTGTCCCCAGGGCACTGGCCGCCTCCCTCAGTCCTTCCTTGAGACCCTGATCGTCACCCCTTGGTCACCTTTTTCTTTTTTCCCAGAAAAAGGGGGGTAGGTGGGAAGAAGAGGGAAGAGCAAAGCTAGAAGGGGGCTTGTCTGGGGCTGCAGGAGGCCCCACTGTGTGTCTGACACGGGCTGGGGCTCGTACCCTACTCACTGCTTTCCTCCCCTGATGAGGAAACAACTCAGAGAGAGGGGTGCCTGCCCCAGGTCACCCCGCCGAGATTTAGTTCCCATCTGTTTGGCTCCAAAGTCCTTGCTTTTCCCTTTGTTCCATAAACCGTGGGGCAGGCAGACCCTTCCAAAAAAGGACAGGAATGAGGGTGCTTTGGAAGAGGGAGTGTCACATTAGCCTCTCTCTCCGTTGCGCCCTCCAGGCAACAGCCAGAGGTCTGTCTAAAGCCCAGATAAGACACCCCCTACCCTAAGCCCTCCCTTCCCTCCCCTTGTCACACTTGAAATAACATGTGCCGTCGTCATTGCATACCCCTTCCCCGTTTGTTACCTTCCTCTGCCCTGTCCCTGCATGTGGCCCAGTGACACTGATCCTCTTGTCCCCGAAACAAACCACCTTCCTTCCCACTGCGGGGCCTGGGTACATCCTGTTCACTCCATCTGGAAACGCTTCCCTCAGATTGTGAAAAGGCTCCAACCCTCACTTCCTCCAGGGCTCTGCCCAAATGTTGCCTTCTCAAAGGGCCCTCCCCAACCAACCCCTCACTGGTCACTCTCTGGCCCTGACTTGTTCCCCCCATATCCTTCTGAATCACGATCTGACGTCGTCTTGTGTAACCATTGTGTATTTGCTTTTTGTCTGCCTCGCCCCGCTAGAATGTCAGCAAGTGGAGGGTAGCACCCAGTCTTTGGTCTTGTTCCCCACTGTGTCGAAGCACCTAGAAGGAGACCTAGCGCTCAGCATGCATTCAATTCGTGTACGTTGAGTGAAAGAATGAACAGCAGTCCTGAATGTAGGATCGACGATGTTCGTATTCACAGCTCTCAGAATGAGTCTCTCCATGAGGGGTACCTCTCACCTGGAGAAGGCGTGAGTCTCCCAGAAGGCAACAGGAGTCCAGCCCCATGGGGTGTGTTAGGGGTGAGGTAGATGGACTGAAGGATGTCAAGGATGAGCCCTCCTTTCAACCTCTGTGGCCTCGGGTGTGCATGTTTCCTCCAAAACAAAACTCTGTGGGTCACCAGGAGAACTCCTCTTTATCCCACAAAGCCCTTCATGGCACTGCCCTCTCTCCTGGGTCGAGATTACCCATTATGGGTGAGATTCCCCCTCAGGGACCTTGGAGATGGGGCTGCCCCACTCTCCGAAATGCTGGGTTTGGAGTGGGGACCAGAGTTGATGGCAGGTGGCTGGCGCTGGGGTTTGAGTGCCTGATCTGCCCGCTATGTTGAAAAAGCTTTGGGACCGCTATCTGGGAGAAAGGGGAGGGACACTGCAAGACCAGTCCCTGCCTCCAGGGAGGGTGCACCCAATGGGGTGGGCCAGGGTGAAAGCATTTCTTGCAGAGGGGGAGGCAGTACGGTGGAGCAGACAAAGCCTAGCGGGCAGGATGCTCCCACGTGGGCTCTGGCCCGTGGGTCAGTCCTGCTCCCAGGCCTGGCCCGGGAACCATTGTTATCACCCCCATTTTACAGATGCGGAAACTGAGTCCCAAAGAAGCCAAGAGCCTTCCTGAAGATCACACAGCTGGTGAGCGGTGGAGCTGGGATTCAAAAGACCGCCGAGGGACACCAGCGGCCATGCCCCTAACCCCACCCATGTGTCTCCAGAATGGAAGGCTGGCTGGAGAGTCACCTAGCAAGTGCTCGATAAACATTTGCTGAAGGACCGAATTCAACAAATGTGTGCCTGTGCAGAAATCGCTGAACGGCGTCCGTAGTTCGGCCTCGGTGTCCACAGTTCCACCACCAGGACATGCCCTAATTGTGCCCTTGGCATTGCCCCCGCCACAAACACCGCCCCCGCCACCATTCGGCATCCCCGGGCTCAGTTCATGATAGCAGCAGCCCTTGCAAGGGGAACATGACCACCGCATTGTACAGAGGAGGAAATCGAGGCGAAACGGCAGCTGGCAGCCAGAACCCAGATCTGCCCGCACCTCTCCGGGCCGCCCGCACAGCCTGCTGCCTTTTTAAGATGGAAGCACCCTGGAAGCATAGCACTTAAGTGTCTGCCGTAGGGGCGGCTCTCAGCTGCTACAGGTCACAACGCTGAGCTACTGGGAAACGACTGGGGGAGGGGGGGTAAAGGGGAAGAGGCTCACGATTTTGGAACACAGGGCGGGTGGAGGGCGAGCGAGCAGGGGGTTGGTGTAGAAGAGTGAAAGGGAAGAAGGGAAGTAGGGTGGGGGGTTCAGAATTAGACCTTCGACACTTCCCCGTTTTTCTTGCCGTGTCTGCGCCTTGAGCGGGAAGAGGCTGGCTCGGCCCCAGAGATGCTGTGTGATGGGGGCCTGTACCCTTTTTGGAGCCACTGGTCCCCAGGGCTCTCTGTCTGGACGTCTTCCCATCTCTGCGCATGGGCTGAGTGCATAGGAGGGGTTCAGATGGAGGCAGGACTGAGCACTCTATACCTGCAGCCCCCCGTGGTGGGGGCGGGGGGGGGGCAGGTGGACACTAGTTGAACCCTTCAGTGGAGCAGACGCTCTCTCAGGCCCCCTGGGCGTCTGTGGCCCAGAACTGTCATGGGCACAGCCGATCTGCCCCAAAGCTCACAAGACCCCAGATGCCCAGGCCAAGGTGGCGCCTCCTCTCCTCCATCTCCAGCCCCTGCAGGGACTTCCCTGGATGCCGGCGAATGGAGAACATTCGTTCACTGAGCCCCTGCTGTGTGCCAGGCTCCTGCCGTCACCGGAGCCCGATTTGAATCCAGGCTCGGTGGCTCTCACCGCCTCCGCTCCCGCTGCCTTGCTGAGGGAGGTCCCGCGCCAGGCTCGCTGCCTGTGGGGGGCAGGGGGCTGGTGGACAGGGCTCGGCCAGCCTGCGTGGGCTCCCAGGACCCCAGGTTCCTTCTGGCTCTTAAATGCCTCCTTTTCTGCAGAGATTTCTTCCTTCATCCTCCTCACGCCCGAGTTAGAGGGTGAGACAGGGAGGAGAGGGTGGAGGAAGGATTCCGGGGAGATCGGCACAAGCTCAGGGAAGTCACCCCTGCTGTCTTTCTCCCGCAGGACTGAGGCTTGGGGGGGAGGTGGGCAGTGCGGTCCAGGGGTGCTGGAGGACAGAGCCCAGCAGCACCCTGTCGGCTGTGACTGTTGGGCTACTGTGGGGGGGGGGGGGGGGGGAAGCATGGAGAAACTGAGGGGGACCTGGGTAGGGACGAGACGATCACCACAAACTGCCTGGGACTTTTGGTGCTTCATTTTCACTTCCCCCAAGTCCTCCTGCCAGCCCCAAGGGACTTGAGGGGGGTTTCTTTGATGACTTCCTCCATGGCTCCCCTCGTCTCTGACTGGCTCTGGCTCTTCCACTGCCTTGATGGGCCCGAGCTTTCCCAGACCCTCAGGTAGGGCCTGCTCCAGGGGCTTCCTCTGGGGGGACGCTGCTGGGACTTTCTCCCTCAGAGTCAGCAGGCACCGCTGGGTTCTCAGGGGCTTCCGGGGTGGGATCCGCGGATGGGGCCGAAGACGCTTCATCACAGGGGCTGAGAGCTGGGCCGGAGGCAGGTCCGGGGGTCTCGGGGCTCACTTGTGGCTGGGCCACAAAGTCCAAATGGGGCTGGGACTCAAGGTTCACCTGTGGCCGAACTGAGGCGTTCAGCTGAGGCTGCATCACAAAATCTGCCTGTGGCTGGGCCACTGAATCCGACCGTGGCTGTGCTGTGGGCTCTGCCTGTGGCTGGGCCACTGAATCCGACCGTGGCTGTGCCGCGGGGTTCCCCCGAGTCTGGGACACAGCGTCCGACCGTGGCTGTGCTACGGGGTTCACCTGGGGCTGGGCCCCAGCCACTGGCCCAGGAAGAGTCTGACTCCCAGAGTCCACTTGGGTCTGTGGCTCCGCTGGCGTGAAGCTTCCAGGCCGTTCTTCACAGAGAGCTGCCGCGAAGGAGGAGAGGACGGCGCGCAGCAGGGCCCGGAGGTCGGCGCTGGCCAGGAGGCAGAGGAAGGGACTGAGGCAGCTGTTGAGCAGGGTCAGGTAGTCGGAGTAGACCAGCGCTTCCCAGAGCAGGTAGCCGGGGTAGACGTCCCACAGGAAGGCCAGGTACAGCAGCTGCGCCAGGTGGTAGGGCAGCCGCAAGACCACGTAGGCTGACAGAATGGCCTTGGCCACACGGGCGAAGCCCCGGCAGGCCATGGGCCTTGGCCGGCGGCGGCAGCAGGTCCGGGAGGCAGCAGCCTGCGTGAGCACGTGGCAGACGAGAAGCAGGAGGAAAGGCAGGAACCCCCCCAGGATCTCGAGCATCCTCAGCGGCAGCTCCTCGCCGTCCCAGAAGTCCAGGCAGATGACCAGGTCGTACCACCAGACGGCGGCCTCGGGGAAGACCAGCCAGGGCACGCTGAAGAGCGTGGCCAGCACCCAGACCCCGGCGCAGACCCAGAGGGGCAGGCGGGCCGGGCGGCGCCCAGGGTACCAGTGCGGGCACAGGGCCAGCAGGCAGCGGTCCACGCTGAGGGCCGCCAGCAGGAAGAGGCCGGAGGAGTAGGACACACCCCACAGGAAGTAGTAGAAGCGGCAGGCGGCCGTCCCCAGCGGCCAGTGGCCTCCGTGCTGGATCTCCAGGATCTGGAAGGCCGCTGCCGCCAGGAACAGAAAATCAGAGAGGGCCAGGCTGAGCAGCAGCAGGGCGAGCCGCGTGCCCGCTCCCTGCCGGGCCTGTGAGCCGGCCAGCCATGCCATGAGCCCATTGGCTGGCAGCCCCAGGAGCAGAAGAGCCACCAGGAAGACCGTGTCCCAGCCACCCTGGGGGTAGTCGTCTTCATCATCCGGCTCCGTGCGGGGCCCGTGGCCAGCGGCACCCAGGTTGGCTTCCATAGCAGTGTCCATCCGAGGTCCCCAGTGTGCTGTTGGCCACGGAGCGGGTGCCTGACGAACCAATGAAATCATGAGGGACTGAGTATGAGAGAGGGTGCTGTGTACCTCCAGGCAAGTCACTGTCCCTCTCTGAGCCATCGTCATCACCTTCGGGGCAGTTAGCCTCTGCCAGGGACTTTACACAGATTACCTCGCGTAGTCCTCAGACACTCCATTTTACAGGTGAGGAGAGGAAGGTTCGGAGGATAAGTGACTTGCCCAAGGTCAGAGACAGGACGAGAGGCGCCAGGACTGAGACTCAGACCTAAGCCTTCTGCCACGTGGAATCCCAGTGTGCCCAAGTAGACTGGACCGAGGCTTTTAAACAGATATATACATGTATATACATATATATTTTACATTTTTTCTTTTTTCCTTATTTAGTTTTAATTTTTTAAATGTTTTTCTATAAAGATGTCATATCCACATCCTTTAAAAACAATTTTTTTTTTTTTAATTTTTTTTTTCAACGTTTATTTATTTTGGGGACAGAGAGAGACAGAGCATGAACGGGGGAGGGGCAGAGAGAGAGGGAGACACAGCATCGGAAACAGGCTCCAGGCTCCGAGCCATCAGCCCAGAGCCCGACGCGGGGCTCGAACTCACGGCCCGCGAGATCGTGACCTGGGTGAAGTCGGACGCTTAACCGACTGCGCCACCCAGGCGCCCCTAAAAACAATTTTTTTAATGTTTATTTATTTTTGAGAGAGGGAGAGAGAGACAGAGCATGAGTGGGGGAGGGACAGAGAGAGAAGGAGACACAGAATCTAAAGCAGGCTCCAAGCTCTGAGCTGTCACGGGGCTAGAACTCATGAACCGCGAGATCATGACCTGAGCCGAAGTCGGTCACTTAACCAAGTGAACCACCCAGGTGCCCCTTAAATTTTTTTTTAACGTTCATTTATTTTTGAGAGACACACACACAGAGAGAAACAGAGTGCGAGTGGAAGAGGGGCAGGAAGAGAGAGGGAGACACAGAATCCGAAGCAGACTCCAGGCTCTGAGCTGTCCACACAGAGCCCGACGTGGGACTCGAACTCATAAGCTACGAGATCGTGACCTGAGCTGAAGTTGGACGCTTAACCGACTGAGCTACTCAGGTGCCCCAGTTTTTTCTCTTTAAAAAAAAAATGTTTATTTTTGAGAGAGAGAGAGGGAGAGAGAGAGAGAGAGAGAGCGAGCGAGCAGGGGAGGGGCAGAGGATCCAAAGCAGGCTTTCTGCTCATAGCAGACAGCCCGATGCGGGGCTCGAACTCACAAACCGCGAGATCATGACTTGAACTGAATTCAGGCACTTAACTGACTGAGCCACCCACGTGCCCCTCAAACATATTTTTAAAGCTGGTGAATCTTCAAATAAAATATTACAGTGGAGCCCCGGGGATGCTCTAGGGAAGACAATTTGAAAACCACTCGGTCGGATCATCGGATCATCGCGAGCCCCTTTCCTTCTGGTATCCTGGAGTTCAAGTGTTTAAGATTCCAAGAAGGGGAGGCTCAGAGTCCCGTGGGCCTGTAGGAGGCCAAGGGTGGGCAGGAGCCTGGGCCAGAGGAGGCCCTTCCCCACAGCAAGTGCAGCTCATGAACTCAGGGTGAGGTCTGCAACTCAGGGCCCGGCAGCCTGGGGCCAGAAGGGCCGTCCTGGAAGCAGCTGGAGCCCCTTCATCATCCTCGACCCCCACCTATGGCCCCGTCCTCATTCTCACAGCTCAGGCAGAAGGTGGCCCCTGAGGCCACCATCAGAAGGAGAAGGGGGCTCAGCAGTGTGATGATAGGGGCCTGCTACCCTTCCCCCCCCACTCCGCCCGCCTTCCCTCACTGGCCCAGGAGGTTTCCCTTGGAACACGGAGAAAGTCCTCATGGCAGTGCTGAGCCAGGGGAGGAAGTAGGTGCCCCAGAAAGGCTGGATCCTGCCCGTGGCCCATGGCTCCAGCCCCTTGGCCTTCAGCCCCGTGGCTTCCTCTCCCCTAGTGCTCAGGCAGACCCCACTCTGCAAGCTCCAGCCTCTACTGGATCAGAGCCCTGGGCTCCCCCGAGCCCCAGCAGGTGAGGCCTGGCTTACCTGTGAGGTGCAGGCCGCTGGCCGGAAGGAGCAGGGGCGTGCCTGCCTGCCCAGTGGTCCAGCCATCTGCCGGGCCCCACGCCGGGGCCTGGGACATGGCGCCTGGCGGCGCTAAGGCGGCCGACGTGAAACCCAAGCTGAGAAGACATCAAACATTCATGGGCATGGGGCTGCTCCCTGGGAAACCCTAACCCCGGCTCAGCAGGGCCGAGTGACCAGCCAGGCCACCCCGTCCCTGACAGAGCCACGTGGTTAAAACCTCCTCGCCCTGGGCCCCTCTGCCTCAGGGTAGGCTCTGGGTCCCCCCGGAGGCCACCTCCTCCGAAATCACCCCCATGTCCCTCAGTCTCTGTGATCTGGCCTCGCTTCCTCAATTTCACAGACCCTCTGCCCCAGCCACGATGTCCCCGTGAGGGGCAACTCTCCTATCCTTTCCCACGCTCTTTCTCCTGAGATGACTTCCCTCGTCCTTGCTTAGCTGAGTCCTGCTCGTGTCACACAACCCGGCTGAGTCCTTGACTCCAGCAATATTGCCCCCATTTTATAGATCGGGTGACTGAGGCTCAGGGAGGTGAAATGGTTTGGTGTCCCAGCTCCTGAGGCCACTTAGGAGCCGGAGTCCGAAGCTCACCGCATCCCGGCACCCTTGTCGCTGAGGGCAGTTCTCTTGACCCATCTGTCTCTGCCCTCAGGCAGAGGGCCGGGATTAGGGCCCGGAGCTGCCTGCCTCACTTACCCTAATCCCCCTCAAGGCTCGATCCCAGGCAATCAGCTCTCAGGGTAGGGGTGCGTAAGCAGCTTTATGGTCCCTGAGAACCAAGGGTGCTCCCTGGTGCTGCATCTCAGAGTTCTGTCGCCCCTCTCCACATGGCCACAGAACAGGCGAAGGGGCATCGTGGCCCAGACCCCCAGAAGCCTCCTGTGGAGGCTGTGGCTTCCGGGAGCGGTGCTGAGGGCCTGCCCTTGACCAGGAGGAGGAGCAAGAAGGACAGGGGACTCCGAGGGTCCCGGAAGGGTGCTGGTGGCTCCGAGGAGCAGACCCCCATCCCTGGCCCCGAGGCCCCAGGGAGCAGCAAGAGCCTCTCTGGGAATGGAGAAGGGCAGGAGGGGACAGGCCCTGCAGCCCCCAGGCCAGCCGGTCGTCGTCAGTCTCACCGACACCGCTCTGGCACCCAGCACGATGCTGCCCAGAAGACATACGGGCCCCTGCTCAACCGCATCTTCGGGAAGGTCAGGTGGGGCCCGGGCTGGGGAGGAGGGGGACACACTTGTGCCCTTGGACTCCGCCCACCCTGCCCCTAGTACTCAGGCCTCCTAGCGCCTCTGCTCCAGACCCGGGAGCCTGAGCTGTAGAGGCAGGATTTGGGGAAGAGTTGGTCTTGGGCCTGGCTGGTTTGGGCTAGTCTTCAAACCCAGGATTCTGGGAGAGCTCTGGGCCCCAGGAGCCGGAAGTGGGGGGGGGATCATCTTTTCTCTGGGGGTCGTGGGACTTCAGCTGCCTTCTCCTGCCCTTGTGAGACTGGCCCTACCCAGGCCATCGTGGGCTAGGGCTGGAGGAGGCAGGATGGCCCCCAGGGACATGCTGGACTGTGCCTCTGCAGGACCGCGAGCTGGGCCCCGAGGAGCTGGATGGTGAGTGGCCCTTGCTGGCGGCAGTGGTGGGTGGGAGGTGTCCCTGAGCCAGGCTGCCCGGGCCTGACCTCCCTCCCCTGCAGAGCTTCAGGCCGCCTTTGAAGAGTTTGACACTGACCGTGACGGCTACATCGGCTACCGGGAGCTGGGCACCTGCATGCGGACGCTGGGCTACATGCCCACTGAGATGGAACTCATCGAGGTCTCCCAGCACGTCAAGATGCGAAGTCAGTGGCTGACCCCCACCGGCCCGGGGCGGGGCGAGGCGAGGCGGCAGCCATCTGGCTCTCTGTCTCTCTGACCCTCCTGAGGCTCCTGAAAAGAGCCTCCTGAGGTTCAGTGAGACCGACTGTGACAGAACCCTGGCCGCTCCAGGCGATTAAATGTCGGATGGGCGTGCGCTTGTGTGATTATCATTAGCTAAATTGTCAAATATCAGATTCCCTTCATTCCAGGACACCTGCATGTGCTCTGTGGTTTGCAAAATGGGATGTGGCTTACACCTGATGTGAACATTTAGCGCAATGCTTTTCTTCTCCCCAAAGCTGTTATTTGACCACCGGTGCTTTTCGTAATCGATGGCGTCTTAGAACGGCGGGACTACGTGGGCATACTCCTTAAGAGGCATTTATGGCTGCCCACGGGGTCCCAGCATGTCAGAGCCACCAACTGCACACCCCCGGAAGCACCTAAGAGTGGGTTCTCTCACCCTTGCCCCGGGATGAGGAAGGAGGTTTAGTAAGTCGCCCAAGGCCGTCGGCACCCAAGGTCACCCACGCCCCATCGACAGCACAGCCAGGGTTTAACTTTAGGGCTGCCTGGTTCCAAACCTTGGCCTCTTTCCCCCTTGACACAGGTGCTTCACTGAGAGCACTCAGGCACCTGGCCCTGTCATCTCTGTGGAGAACGGGGCTCTGACCTCCTACCCCCGTCCCCGAGGGCATGGATGCTGGGTGCTCCTTCCTGGATGTAGAGCTGGGGAGAGGCGGGCACCTGTGAAGTTCTTTCTCGGGGCCCCAGCCTTCTCCATTGCGACACTCTGCCTCCGCAGTGGGTGGCCGTGTGGACTTCGAGGAGTTTGTGGAATTGATGGGCCCAAAGCTGAGGGAGGAGACAGCACACATGTTGGGGGTGCGGGAGCTGCGCATCGCCTTCCGAGAGGTGTGGAGCGTGGTCGAGTCGGGCGCTGGGTGGGCAGCTGGGCGGCAGACCTACTGGCCTCCCATCTGGGCCAGAGAGACGGGGGGGAGGGGGGCCCAGCCTCTGGAGGCCCAGAGCCCTGCAGATGGTGGGACTGGGCCAGGGAGGATTGGAGAGGGGCCATCTCACTCTCAGCTGGAGGATCCACCCAAGGAGACTTCCTGGAGGAGGGGCCTATTGTCTCAGCCTGGGAGGAGGAGGAGGGTTTCGGTGGGCGAAGGTGGGGACATCCAGGCACAGGATGTGGCAAGGAGGAAACGGGTCTGGGCAGAGCCAGCTTTGGGTGGGAGGGACTGAGCCCTGCTGGGATCCTAGTTTGACAGGGACAGAGATGGACGAATTACAGTGGCAGAGCTGCGGCAGGCAGCACCTGCTCTGCTGGGGGAGCCGCTGGCGGGTCCTGAGCTGGACGAGATGCTCCGAGAAGTGGACCTCAACGGGGATGGCACCGTAGACTTTGACGGTGAGTCTCCTTCCCAGACGACCCCCCACCCCTCCAGCTCCCAGGATGATCCCAGCATGTCCTGGGATCCCTGACCAGGACTGGCCCAAGCCCCGCCCTTCTCTCCCCCAGAGTTTGTGATGATGCTTTTCACCCACTGAAGTTCTAGAAGGGAGAATGCGTTACCCCGCTGGCCCCAGGCCAGCAGGGTTCATGCCGTACGCCCTCCCCCTGAGGCCTCAGAATGGAAGACCACCCAGCAGCCCTCAGGCTTCTTCGGTCCTTGACAACACCTGGCTGGAGAGCCTGCTCGATGTCACCCACCCCCCTTCATTCTCACCTTCCTCCCACCTGAGCTGCCCGGAGGGAACCTGCACTCCGCCGTCCATCATTCTCCAGGGTGAGCAAGAATTGGATCTCTCCACACCCTCGGTGGGTAGCAAGCTCCCCGGCACCGCAGTATCAAAGACAGGGGCGGGGCGTGGAGTTGGGGGGATTCTGGAAACATGGTGAATTGAGAGCGTGGCTGGATGCCTCCCACTACCCGTGTAAAAACGTTAAAAAGACAAAAACTGAACTTGAAAGAAAGCCAGGGATGACCCCAGTACTAAAGACAAAGCAAGAACTCAGAGCGGGGTGGCGGGAGAGAGGGGACAGCATGGGGGCTTCAGACGTGGAGAGAGGTTCGGAAGCCTGGGCTCTGACACCCATGGATGACAGAAGACCTGTAAGAGGCTGGGGAACAGGACAGGAGCCTGAGCACCTTCCCGGGTCTCAGAGGGCTACCCTGTTCTTGAAAAGGGGACCAAAAGATACCTCCACCTACCAGCGTGAGGAAGTAGCAAGGGTACGGACGTCTAGGGCCTTGAGTGGACAAAGCTACCCTAAGGAACCTGGGACTCAGGCTGGCACATTAGGCAGGAGTGTGGTCTATCTCCACGGTATGGGAAGCTGAAGGAATAGGGAGAAGCTACCGGAAGAGCACTCTTCAACCCAGAGCACATGGGACTTAACAAACAACAGCCCTGTCACTTCGGAAGATGAACTCATGACAAAGAATTACAGATCACATGGGAAAACAAGTCCCCGTGAGGGAGACGAGGCAGATGCAACAAACAGGAAAATCAGCACCCCCAAGTGTAAGTAACAGAAAAATCCGAAAGAGGCCACAAAGTCAATGCAAACAGAAATGATATAAAAGAAGGGAGAGAGGCCAACAGGTAGGAACAGAATGGTATGAAACAGAATAGGAAGATTAATAAGAATAAAAGAATTTCTGAAAATAAAGGAGATAGCCATTGGAATAAAAAAAACACAATGGGTTGGTTAAACAGCAGATTAGACACCATTTGAGAGAAGATTAGTGAACGGGAAGCTACATCTGAGGAATCACCTATAAGGTAGCCCTGAGGGATAAACAGGTGGCAAATATTAAAGGGTAGTTAAAAATCATCAGGAGTCTCAGGAGAAAATACAAAGAATGGACACGAGGCAACCCTCAAAGACGTGACGGCTGAAACCCTTCCATAAAGACTTCCACAAAGACAAATGCCCAGATGGAAGGAACACAGTGGAGCCTCAGAAGGATGAACAGAAACAAATATATATCTAGATGCATTCCAGCAGAACTCAGAACACAGAAGAAAACCTTATACACAATTCAACTGGAGACAAAAGTCCGATTACTTACCGAGGAGCAGAAATTAGGCCCTACGAAGGCTTCTTCTTCTTTTAAAAATGTTTTATTATTTATTTCTGAGAGAGAGAGAGAGAGAGAGAATGCGAATGAGGAAGAGGCAGAGAGAAAGAGGGAGACACAGAATCCGAAGCAGGCTCCAGGCTCCGAGCTGTGAGCACAGAGCCAGATGCGGGGTTTGAACTCATGAACGGTGAGGTCATGACCTGAGCCGAAGTCGGTAACCGACCGAGCCACCTAGGAGCCCCTCTACAAAGACTTTTCATTGGTTACAATAAATGCCAGGAGACAGTGGAATAAATTGTTCAGCATGCAGAGGAAAACGATTGCCAGCCAAGAAGACTTTACCTCACTCAATCGTTATTCAAGAAGGAAGGTGAAATATCAACTTTTTTCAGGAAACAGAGGCTGGTAAGAGTTTCCTACCCATGTGCTCTCATTGAAGGGAATTTCCTTCAGTAAGAAGGAAATTCAGACCAGAAGAAAGGCGAGTGTGCACTAAAGTATGGTCAGGAAAGAGATCAGTAAACATATTTGTGGAGCTAAAGAGGCAGTGACGATAAAAAAAGTTAAGTTGGGGGATTTTCAAAATAGGAGGGACTAAAATAATAGACAAAATAAAACAGAAGACGGGAGGGAATACTTTAGATATGCTAAAATCTTTTCCTCATCTTTCCTAGAGGAGAATAGATGCATTGGTCAGCTTCAGACTTTGTTAACCATTTAAGAATAGCCATTAATACGGGGCGCCTGGGTGGCTCAGTCGGTCAAGCGCCTGACTTTGGCTCAGGTCGTGATCTCACGGTTCCTGAGGTGGGGCCCCACATCGGGCTCTCCGCCGTCGGCGCGGAGCCTGCTTCGGACCCTCTGTCCCCCTCTTTCTGCCCCTCCCCCGCAATAAACTTCAAAACAGTGCAAATCTTCATCTTTTATTTTGAAGCCATTAATATAACAGAAATAGAGATAGAATGTTCCCTTCAATGGTCCAATCCGTAGAGGAAGAAAAGAGGGAAAGTGAATAATTCTTGATTAAACCAGAAGACTAGACAGCGGGCCGGGGCGGGGGGGGGGGGGAGGAAGTAAAGAAAAACCTGATGAAAACATTAAAACAAAGTAAAACAGAAGATAGGAGTAATCCCTAAACGTATCAAAGTTACAACAATTCTAAGCAGATTAAGCTTTTTGGTTAAAAGAGAGTCTCAGTCCCAGAAGAAAGTTTCAATGTTCGATTGGGTTCCCTGTGACTGACGGAGACACCAAATAGCAACGCCTTAAAACTGGAGAGAAGTTTATTTCTTAGGTGAAATCCAGCCGTATGGTCTTCAGGAACCCAAGCTCCTTGCACCAGGTGCCGGGCTATGCCCAAGTTTCTATGTTTTCCAGGTGACACGATGGAGGCAGGAACAAGGAACAAAGAGGGACAAAGGGCGTGAACCACTTGTACTCTATTAGGGAGGGCTCCTCACCTGGTACAGGGGGCTGCAAAGAATGCTGGGAAATGCAGTCTTTATTTGGGGTGGCCACGTGCCCAGCTAAAAACCAAAGATTCTTCTACTGGGGGGCAGAGAGCAGCCTCTTCCCCACAGCGGAGTGTAGGATCTAAGGCACATTTGAGCAGCATCATGAGAATCAAAAGGCTGAAAGTGATGGCTTGCAACAGAGATTTACTAGGAGAAGATGAACCAAAGAAAACTCATAAAAGTACAGGCATAGCAGACAGAAATGGGCTAGGAGGCAAAAAGCATTAGGGATAAAATGAGTCACAATTCACTAAAGAAGTCCAACGTTCCTCGTCTGGACACAACGATCGATGTATTTTTCAACTGAAGAAGAAGTTGCATTTAGAGTTTAGCTATTCATGATCCCCTGAGGATAGTGTTACTGTCAACCCAGTTTGGATTTCAAAAATTAACCAGCAAAAATCAAGCACTTTAAATTCTTTTAAAAAAAATTTTAAGACAGAGAGAGACAGAGCATGAGTGGGGATGGGGCGGAGAGAGAGGGAGACACAGAATCTGAAGCAGGCTCCAGGCTCTGAGCCGCGAGCACAGAGCCCGACGCGGGGCTCGAACTCACGAGCTGTGAGATCATGACCTGAGCCAAAGCAGGAGGGTCAGCCAACTGAGCCACCCAGGCGCCCCTCGTGAAAACCTTAAATGTCGTGATTCAGTGTTCTGTCGACACGTTCATACGGACTAAGGGTTGGCAAACTTTTTCTGTAAAAAGCCAGATAGTGTAAAGATTTTAGGCTTTGAGGACCCTACGGTTTCTGTCACAACTGCTCAGCTCTGCGGTTGTAGTTAAAATTGCCAAGCAGCCCCAGGCCGCATACAAACAGGGATGGCTGGGGTGGAAATTTGGTAATTAACTGATTAAACTTGGTTTATTGACACTGCAATTTGAATTTTGTAAACTTCTTTGTCTCACGAAATCTTACTATTCTTTGACTTTTCCCCCCAACCGTTACTAAAATAGAAACGCCATTTTTATCTTGGGGACTGTATTGGGCCTGTGGGCTATGGCTTGCTTATACTTGCGATAGTCTTATATGGAGACTCACTACTTCTGGAATAACTTGGTGTTAAGATTGTGGAATGACAGAGGCACCTGGGTGGTTCAGTTGGTTGAGCATCCAACTTTGGCTTAGGCCATGATCTCATGGTTCATGAGTTTGAGCCACGCATCGGGCTCGCTGCTGTCAGCACAGAGCCCTCTTTGGATCCCCTGTCCCCCGCCGCCTTCTCTGCCCCTCCCCTGCTTGCACTCGTTCTCTCTCTCTCAAAAATAAAAAATAAACTTAAAAAAAGATTGTGAAATGATAAAAAGTTATGAGCACAGTAGCAACTCTGTATTAATCACCTATTTGCACACAATGAATAGTTTTCATAACTTTCCTTCTTTCCTGTTTGTTCTGATTATATTCACTGAAATGTAATTTTAGGTCTGGTTAATCTGGGAACACAAATTGTGGGCTTATGTTCTGAACGTCATTGTTCTCTCACTTTTCCAATTGTTATTTGATCCCACCACAGTATTGGTCCATGATGGATTAGAAAGGAACATTGATCCTTTCCTACAGCTACTTTGAGAGCCACTGATTTAGAAATTCCTGTATCCGGCCGGTGCCCCCAAAAGTGCCCAGATTGGGGGCTGAGGTTGGGAAGTCCGGGGGGTCAGGAGAACAAGAGTGGGAACAGGAGTCTGGGTGTTAACTCTTTCAGCAAAGTCACAGAAACCCAAAGACGTTCTCCTGGCTGCTGCGGCACAGCCCATGTCTCTTCTCATCGCCATTCGTGTTTCACTCGGAAGACAGAGTATAAACCTCTAAGTGTATGAACAGGATCTCCTCAGTCAGCCCTCCCTCCCCGGGGTGGTCGGCTGGGGACCACACAGGCTGGGTGCCCTCACCTCTCCCTCCCACCCCCAGGTGTCTTGAAAGCCTTGGGTTATGTTCCCAACCCTGCCCTTGGGCGAATCCGTCCCTCTGGATCTTGGTTTCCTCATCTGTAAAATGGGACCGAGGTGGTGATTATCAGAAAGAACCTGTGCGAAGTGCTCAACACAGGACCTGCTGCCTTCTAAGAGTTTGATAAATGGTAGCTATTATGATCTCAGATTTCAGGGTTCTCAAAGATTGTTTCCTGGCTCGTGAGATTCTGAGATGCCTTGGTTTCCCAAAATTCTGAGTTGGTTTGTTTCCACTGTTCTGTGGAGAGTCCTCGATCACGGAGGTTCTGTCACACGCGCCCTGCCTCTCATTGTCTTCACCCCTGCTTCTCCCAACCCTTGAGCCCGGAAGTAGGGCAATGGGCGGAGAGGGCTGGGCTGCTGCCTTGTCGTGGCCCACATTCAGAGCTGTGGCAGCCCAGGGCCCCAGAGCCACGTTGCAACCGGGATACCAGCCTCCAGGCCCCAGGCCTGCGTCATCCCAGTGCCCTCGGCCAGGGCCCCCTGGGCAGGCACCAAGGCTGCTGCGCCTCCAGGTGGAGAAATGGGCAGGGCCAGCTCTGCTAAGGGCTGGGTGGTGACGGGAGGCTGCTCCAGGCTTGCAGGATAGAGTCCCTGGCCCAGCTCCGCACCTAAAACGGAGGAGCAAGTCTTAGAGCATCAGGACCGTCGCGGGTACAACGGGGGGAGACGGGTGGTCCTGGAGCCTTCAGCTGCCTACAGCCAGCGCTTCCCTCAGGTTTTGCGGGAGGGGCTGTGGCCAGGCCGACGGGCTGGGCAGGGTTGGCGGGAAAGGGAGATCAAGGTCTCTCCTGGAGTGAAGTACATTCTTTTATTAGCACAAAACAACAACGCAGCAGCCCCAAGGCTCGAGAATAAGTTAAGGCACAGAACAGGCAAGGGACGAGTTTCCCGGGCCTGGGTAGTGGGCAAACTTCCTGAGCAAACTTCGAGGGGGCTGGGGGCTCGAGGGTCCTGCAGTCCTTCCCTTGAGATGAGGAAACCAGAGCGGGGCGGGGCCGAGGAGCGCCCCCTGGGGCCGCTCGCAGGCGAGGCTGGATCCCCTCGGTCCGCCCGCGGCTCACTTCTCGAAATAGGGCAAGTAGAAGAACTGGAAGCCCCGGTGGCCCTTGACGGCGCAGTAGATGAAGATCACGTGGTAGACTGCGGGGGCGGGGCCGGTCAGCGCCGAGACCCGCCCGAGACCCGCCCCCGGCCCGCCCCCAGCCCCGCCCCGCCCCTGCCCGGAGCCCTTCCGCACCTCCCGGGACCAACAGCAGGAAGCCGGGCACGAAGAAGATGGCGCTGGAGACACCTGCAGGAGGAGGGGCCGAGTCGAGGCTGGGAGGCACCGGGGCGGGACCGGGGGGGGGGGGGGGGGGCGGGTCACTGTCTGGTCAAGTCTCGCTGCGGTGAAAGGGGTCCTTTCCTGCTGTGAGGGTGGAAGCAAACTTCCGAGGGGGTTGGGGGCTCGCGGGTCCTGGAGGAGTTTTTCTCTTGTGGGGAACCCCGCTGCCTGCGGAGGTAGGAGGGGGCGCTCACCTGGCGAGGGGGCCACCTCCAGTCCCACGGCGATCAGGATCAGCACTGCGCACAGATGGATCCGCGAGGGTGAGGGGGGGAGGCGGGGGCAGGGGCTGGCGGCAGGGCGGGGAACTCCACCCACCACCCCCAGCAAGGCTTAGGCCCCAGGAGTGTCCCCAATCTGAACTGAGGGTTCCCTAGCCAGAGGACCCTTCCTGGGAAGCTCACCAAGCTCTGTGTTTTCAGAGCAGGGCACCTGGCAGGGCCTGGGAAATGTCTGAAGTGAGATTTTCCTCTGCTCCGTGGTGTGGCCTTTAGTCAATCGACAAACATTTATGGAACACCTGCTGTGTGCCTGGTACTGGGAATCCCACAGGGAAAAGCGAATGAGGTCCCTGCCCTCATGGCCCTTCCCTAGTGGTGCAACCAACAAGAAACTCCAAGCTACGATCCAGTGATAGGGGGTGTGGCAGGCCAGAGCAGGCGGCAGGGGGAGCCTGGGGGATCGGGAGGGGCTTCCTGGAGGCGGTAGCAATGACGCTGAGCAGGGGTGGTGACAGCTATAGCAGCTAACATTTAGTTGTTACTTACCAGGTGCTGCCAGGCACTGGGCTAAGCTTGTTACCTGCACTGCTTTATTGTCACCGTGACTGAATGAAACAGGTATTATCATCCCCATTTCACAGAAGATGAAACTGAGACGCAGAGAGGTGCATGTGGAAGGAGGAGGCGCTTGGACTCTGGAGGCTTTGCTATGGGCTTGGTGCAGGCAGAAAAGAACTGGAATGCTCCGGGCGGAGGGAGCAGCATGGCAAAGGCCTAGAGTCTGGAAGGAACTTGGGGCCTTCCAGGAGCTTCCAGAGTGGAAGACTGGAGAGGCAAGAGCCCGGGCTTGAGGAGTCTGGCAGGGCCTGTGGACCCCAACGAGGGATGTGAACTTTGGCTGAGAACAGTGCGTTTGGGGAAGTCATGGCTGGATCAACTTTTCAGACCTACAGAGTCCTGGGTCCCCGCTTAGAGGATGGGATTGGGGGCGGTGGGGGAGCTGGGCTTTCCAGCAAGGGAGCGATATGGCATGAAGGCTCGAGGGGCCACCATGGACTGTTAGGTGACTGGTGGCCCGTATAGAGCACTTGAAAAAAGGAATGGTGGGGGCTGAAACACTACCTGCCACCCTGGCTTAGGGCTGGGGGCCCTGCCCACTCAGAGGAGGTGTCTTCTAAGTCCTACAAAGGCCCTTTATAGGCCTGGTAATGTCACTGATGTGGGTTTAAATCCCAGCTCATCTACCTCACAGCTGAGGTCTGAGCAAGTCCCTTTACCTGGCTGAGCCTCTGTCCTTATTTCTGGACTGGGATGGTAATAATGCTTGCCCTTGTGGGTACTGGGAGAGAGAATGAAATGGGATAAGGCAGGTGGCCCGTATGACCAGTGCCCAGCTTGCAGTGGGGACTGGAGAAGTTGGTGGCTCCCTCCCCCCACACGTAGACACCCAGAGCCGAGGCGAGGACGCTGCTCAGCTTTCTGGCTAACGGACTCTGACCGTGCTGGAAGATGGAGAGCAGTTGCCACAGCTGGGCTGTCCTCACGAGCCCCTCTTGATCCCGACCCTAGGTCCCTGCTGGGGATCCTGATTCCTCAGCCCCATAGAATGAGTCAGAAAACATCTGGCTGGGAGATCTGTCTGCTCTGGTCTTCGCTTTCCCCATCTGGGCAATAGGTGTACCCGGTGAGGGCCAGGGAGGGGTCCTCCTCAGCTCTCAGACTCCAGGGATGGGGACGCAACAGGTGCTCCGTGGGTCGGGCTGGCAGGGTGCTCAGCATCCCTGTCGACGGGGATGGGCAGATCCCTGAGCACTTGTCTCCGTACTGGTTCTGGGTCACGGTCCCACCTCTCACTTTCTGTGTGACCTCCGTAAGGCCGGAAATAAGCCTACCCTGCGGCTGGCTTGAAGTAGCCACAGAATAAATGGTGGCTGTTGGCTCTTTTGCTCCATGAGGGATTAAATGGCTAAGTTAAAAAAAAGTTTGGAGCATGGGACCAGGTTCCCTTTTCCACTATGTGTGATTTCCTGGCTGTGTGTCCAGGAGACCGGGCCTGCTCCTCTTAAGGCCTCAGTTTCCTCACCTGTAAAATGGGGGTGGGGTGATGGCACTCAGCTGGATGTAGGGAGGCTCCGTGGGCCAAGGGGGACCCAGACCCTGCACGAAGGGAGGACGGCGCCCTCACGGGGGTAGGCAGGGGACCCACAGGGGCACTCACCCAGCCCCAGCAGCAGGAGTAGGAAGGAGGCCAGCACTACCCGGCGGTTCTTCTGGATCAAAGGGTGTTGCGTCCAGCTGGGGGGCAGGACAGCAGGATGAGTGCGAGAAGTGACAAGAGCCCCACCCTCTCCCATCACTCTTCCCCACCCAGAGGACCGAGGGGGAAAGCCAGGGCTGCCCGTTCTGGGTCACAGACTGCAGGTGGCTTAAGCAGGGCAGGCTCTCACCTGCAGCAGGCATGGTAGGATCGCTGGGTGCTGTTGCTGATGGTGCTGAAGGACCACTGGGAGCTGCGGATGGACGTTCGGCTGGAATCCCTGCTGGCCAGGTGGGCCCAGTGAGAGGCAGGGCAAGTGATGAAGGGGTCATAATGACGTGGTGGGGGTTGGTACAGGGATTAGGATGGGTGTCCCTGCGGGAGAGGGGGCACTGAGAGGGGACAAAGTGAGGAGGATTCAAGGGCTGGGGTCTCTGCAGGACCGAGGATGGAAAAAACCTGCAGATTCGAGCTAGGGATTCCTGCAGGACGGATGACCTGGGGGAAGGTAGGGGCTAGACCAGGCTAGGGGTTTTCTGCAGGAGAAAGAGCGTGGTGGGGGT